TTTGACTCTTTTGGAGAAGTCTTTGGAAGCACATAAAAATTTAATTTTTAGAAGGTCCCAATCATCTGGTTTCTCTTCTGCTGTTTGTGTATTTTGAGTTATGCTTGAGAGTCTATTTATGCCATATATTAGGGCCCCTAAATTTGCTCTATTTTATGGCTCAGACAATTTTATTGTCTGGATGCATTACAATTTGCTTATTAATTACCTATTGATGGACATTTAGGTTGTTGTCAGATTTCTTATGAACATTTGTGTAAAAGTTTCTTGAGCACAAAAAATAAACACTGGCAGATAAAAAATCATTTATAAGAATACTTTTTAAATTTAATTTAAACTTAGAATAAAATAAAGTTTATTGATAGTGGACTCTAATATCTTCCATGGTCTGACCCTGGAGACCACTTCAACCTTAGCTCTTGCCATTCTCTACTTGTTTCCTATCTCCAGCCACCCCACCCTGCCCTTCTTCTCATTGCCATCAAGTTGATGTTGACTCATAGCAACCCTATCAAAAACAAACTCACTGCCATGGAGTCAGATCTGACTCATAGAAACCCCTCCTTGGGTTTCCGAGGCAGTATCGCTATGGAAATAGATTGCCAACTTTCCTTCCAAGGAGTGCTGGTGGGTTTGAACTGCCAGCCTTCTGGTTAGCAGTCAAATGCCTTAGTCACTATGCCGCCAGAGCTCCTAGCCTTACTTTTTCTCAAATACACCAGAGCATCATTTGTTCCTATTTTCTGACATGCTCTCCCCTCAGATCACTACACGGTTGCTCTTTCTCATCATTCAGGTCTCTGATTATATACCATCTCCTGAGAAAGACCTTCTTTTAATTCTCAATCTACAAGAACTCCTCAGCAATTCTGCCTCTTCTATTATTTTCCGCCACCTTTTCCTACTTTATTTTCTTCAAAACTCTAATTGCTATCTGAAATTACTCATTCTTTCCTTGTTTATTGTCTGCCTCCCTGACTAAAATGTAAGCTTCAAGAGGATGGAGTTTTTGTGTCTTTATCCGTCTTATTCATAAAAATAACTTCAGTGTCTACAACAGCTGGATGATACAGAGCATATGTTTAATAAATACATTGAATTGAATGGATAAATGAATCATGATATAGGAGGTGCTGAGGTAAAGCTAATTTTTTGTTTCCTATTAAACATACAGGAGTAGCCCTGGTAGTGGAGTGGTTAAAGCTCTCGATTGCCAACTAAAAGGTTGGTAGTTTGAACTCGCCAGCTGCTCCATGAGAGAAAGACGAGGCTGTCTGCTTCCAAAAAGATTTATAGCCTTGGACACCGTATGGGGCAGTTCTACTCTGCCCTATAGGGTCGCTATGAGTTACAATTGACTAGATGGCAAAATTAGAAATTAAGATAATTGAAAATATTTGTGTAAAAAATAAGGGCCTTACATTTAATTTAAAATAAAGATAAGTATTTCATTTCACTCTGTGGCAGAGAAACACTACACAATATAAAGTCATGCAAATCAACAAACCAAGTATAGATTCTCAATTGGTGGGCAAAAATTAAGTGAATACTTAAAAAAAATAAAGTGCACGTCAAAGTTGTTTAACATGTAGAAACAAGATAAACTCATGGTAGTGAAATTTGGGAATAAATGGGCATGTAACATTATGGTTTGAATTAAGGAGTTAGGCTGTTTCAGAGTTCAAGGGGCAATGTTGTTGTTGTTGTTGTGTGCCATTGAGTCAAACCCAACTCATAGTGACACCTCCTTGGGTTTCCGAGGCAGTATCACTACGGAAGTAGATTGCCCCATCTTCCTTCCGAGGCAAATAACAACAACAATCTGTAAATAGATAAATGTAAATATATGGTAAGGCAGATGAAGGGGTTGTTAATAAACGTTTTCCATCCCTAGCCTTCCTTCTTGACTGCCACTAGCTGCCTTTAAGTCAAATGGCCCTAGTGAACTTAATTTCCTCCATCTTGCCCTCTTCTGCCTGCTTTTCTAATCCTTGTATTTCAGATATACACATATATACTCCCCTACCACATTTTTCTTCATCAGTACCTCTGTAAACCCCATCCCCATTTTTGACACGTATAATTGACATTCCTCAAGCTTATGTAATATGTAAACAGGGTTTCAAACCTCATTACCTGAGATTTGCTGAAATCAAACTCTTCCTATCTAAAAACTCTGGAGTAGTGAGTGAAGATGACCCTATATTCTGAAAAACAGAATAGCGTGTTTTCATGAGTTTTGGGGGAGGAGTAGGTGGAAGGATTGACTGGGTCACTTAATTCCAATGTGTTCATGCTAAACGGTATCTTGCAGATCACCTCTAAATCACACTCTTAATTTTACAGATGAGAAAACAGAAACCTTGGAGATGAGTCCTAGAACCCAGTCCATGGGTCCTTCAACGAACCTCGGTGGATGCCTGGGTCTCTCTTTACCTGTTAAGCCGCAGCCCTCCTCCTGGCCTGGAGGAGGATAGTACAGGAGGATGGACCCTGGGTAGCCTCAGAATGCCTGGTTGCCTGAGGTTTTCTTCCCTTTTCCAGGCTGACCGCTTGGTCTGCCTCTTCTTTCCCTTTAGGTGCTAGGGCGGGCACCTGATGCAAGGTGGGCACGGCATCCGCCAAGAACCTCAGGCACTGGGCGAAGGGTAGGTTTTTCTGGACAACAGACGAGAGGTCAAAACAAGCCGGGGCGGAGTGATCAGAGTAGATAATAGAGCAATCATTGCCACCCCACCAACCGGAGCGGCGGCCCTGCACAGCCAGGTCTTCAGGGAAGCGAAACTGTGACTTCCCAGACTTAGTCGTGTTGCCGCAGTGGGCAGCCACGCAGCCGGTCAGCACAGCTGCAGCATCTGGTACCGAGGAGCTGTGGTTTCCTGGCCCTCCGCGCGCGAGCAGGCTCCTCGCTGCAGCTTGGTCACGGCGGGTACTCCTTAACCTGTCGACTCATCTTCGGGCGCTTAACTTCGGTCACTGGAAGTTCTGAACTGGGTACCGAATGGGAATGTACCCAGTTTTCTACTACCTTGCTTCCCTTACACCCGTCAATGCTTCCCCGAAAGCAAGTGGCCAGAAATAGCGGGATACAAATTTCGCGCGGGCCGCGCAGAGGTGGGCCATAAAGACGAACGGACCGGAAGTGGTGGTTGTCATAGCTACCGATGTGTCCAGCCTCTTCCCTATTTTATATTCTTCCCAATATTCTCGCTCTGTTCTTATGAGCCTAGGACAATAGAACAAGGAAGTGCTCATGCACTGGGCCCTCACAAGTACAACTAGAGGCTACAACGACTGCACTGGCCAGTTGATTTGGGAAGAGGACCAGACCGGAAATGGCAGTTTCCATGGTAACACTGGAACGGGTTGCCTGGGAGATGACCCCTTTCGGTCTCTGAGCCTCTGCTGTAGCGTCACCTCGAAGACAGATCTAACAGATTCTGAACTGTCTCCTGCCATGATTCCTGGGAAATACCGCTCTGTTTCTGGCCGAGCTGCGAACAACGTAGGTTGGGCCTCCACTTTCTCTTTTCTCCCATTTGTATTGTCCTCCCTGAGGGGCGTCTTTGTCTAGATGATGAACTGTGTTATTGGGACGTGGACCCCTGCACCTACTCAAGCTATTGTCTGACCGAGGCTTGAGGTTCCTGGACTGGCCCAAGGCACTAGGAGGGTATTGTATGATGGGTATCCAAAGTCTTATCTAGGATCTGGGCCCCCCAGAAGGTGGAGCTGGTCTTCTGCGAAAGGCTTAGGTTCATTTAAACCCTTTAATCTGTCAATTCCTTTTTTTTTTTTTTTTTTAATTGGGAAAATAATTTATCATTAATAACCACGACCACCTCCTCCATCTGTTCCATTGAGGTATTTATTTAGACCTGAGATGGCAAGTGTGGAAAGCCTGAGGTAGTAGAAGGTAAAATTGCTGCCGACATTTTGGAAAATTAACCAAAGTGAAACCTTTTAATTCTTAGTTGTGATTTTACTATTTTTAGCAAAAACATGTTCATTTGCCAGAAACAAACAAAAAGCAAATATCTGTTTAATTTTTTTGTTGTATCTGTACCATTTTATGGGGGGGTGTGTGCATGTATATATGTGTATGTATAAAACCCACTGCTGTCAAGTCGTTTTGACTCATAGTGACCCTATAGGACTGAGTAGAATTGTTCCATAGGGCTTCCAAGGCTGTAATTTTTATGGAAGCAGACTATCACATCTTTCTTATACAGAGCCAACCGCTGACCTCTCCATTATCAGCAGGCACTTTAACCACTGTGCCAACAGGGCTTCTTTGTAGTATGTATTTAAATTAAGAATAAAATTTTATGGTTTCATTTCTAAATTTCAGGTGAATTGTGGACTTCATCTGGTTATTCAGACATCATCACTTCCTGAAAAAAACAAAGTAAGACTTAGCAGACTTTTATTTAAATTGAAGATAAATTGTCTTCTAAATACACAAATAGCATGTTTTAAAGAGTAGAGTTTAAACTAGAAATTTTAACTGTATTTTTTCTGCCTTCCAATGTAAAGCTAATTCATATTTTCTGCCTACATAAAGCCAAAATTAACCCTTTTTAAAAAACTTAATTTTACTTTATCAATTCCAAAAGGTAAGTTTATTGACATTGAAACAATTTTTAAATTGAGACCCTTAAAATTGATAGTGCATCATAGTTTAATTGGGATAATTTTTTTCTTAGCAGTGTGTACAATGATAATGTGCCTTGCTACTGATGGCATCTTAGAATGAAGAAAATGTGGTCATTTGGGGAACATATGTACACATTCCATTTAGAATCGGGATAAAAAATAGGTAAGGCTTAATGTTAGTTAGAAGTGAAAATGTGAACATGAGATTTTCTTTCCCAATTTACCCATAATATCCCTGGAATTTCCAGAATTTCTGGCCTTTGATTTGTCTTTTGAGATTTGAAATACAGTCTTTTCTTCCTCTTCTGTTTCACCTTAGCACTCAAACACACTTCTTAAACAACTGTGTCTCAAGACATAATGTGATTTTTCTTCCTTTAACCAAATTTGGACACCACCAACTATCACAATTTAGTTGTTACCTAAAACTAAAAAGTGGTTACATAGATGTCACTGGAGAAACTCTCAAGTGAAGTTTACAGATAGCAGCATGATTTGAGTAAGGAAGGGCATGAGGAGGCTGGATAGAAGGACATTATTAATCAAGAGGGTAGCAGTTGATTATATCGTATGTGTGTATGAAAATGTCAGAAATTTGGAAAATAAGCCCATTTGATCATCTTAAATAAACAGAAATTAGCTAGGGTAATTGAAATATTCTTTATTATAACTGGACTTAATGGATTTATCCTAAAGCTTTGCTAATTGATTTCGTGGACAAATTCTACTCCTCCACTACAGTGTGTTTCTAGCAACTATGTGCCTCATCCACATTTTTTCCAAACTTTTTATTTTCTCCTGTGTATACATATGTTCTCAGAAAATACCTTTAGATTATATACATAAGGCTATAACACTAATACTATTATAATGTTTGTATGAAGCAGGAACATGAAAATTGTTTTAAAATAGATATTTAGGGTGTGTGTACATGTGTGTATGTTTAAATCATAAGCACCTCTTTTGGTTTTGTTTTTCACTCTTCCTACCAGATAATTACTTAAAATAAATTTAGTAGAAACCCTTTTTAGAAAATTTAAATATATAATTTGTTGCTATAATTGGACATTTAAAGGAATTCCAATGATCAAAACAGAGTGATTTTTCAGCAGCATTTAGTTTTTATTATATATATGTATATATATATATATATATTTTTTTTTTTTTGAGAAAATGACTTTTAATCATTGTAATTGGGGTGAGGGAGTGGGGGATGGGAGGTACCTCAGATTGGAGCATGCTTTCATCTAATGTTACAAAATTGACTCTAATTTTGTTTTGTGTATAATAAGATACACATAACTAAACTTACCATTTTAGCCACTTTAAAGTGTACAATTCAGTGTCATTAAGTATATTCACCATGTTTTGCATCCATAACCACTATCTACTTCTAGAACACTTTTTCATCACTCTAAACAGAATCCCCGTACCCATTAAGTAGTCACTCCCCATTTTCCTGTTTCCCCCAGTTCCTGGCAACCAGAAATCTGCTTTTTGTCTCTATGAATTTGCCTATTCTGGACATTTCCTATAAATGGAATCATTACAGTATGTGGCCTTTTGTGTCTGGCTTCTTTCACTTTGCAGAACGTTTTTGAGATTCATATTGTAGCATGTATTAGTTATTTTATGTTATTTTGTCATTATCTTCATTACTTATTGTTAAATTTTTCTCCAAATATTTTTTTCTTAAATAATGTTTTTTTTTTTTTAGGTTGAATTCAAGCTAAATAAAGAAACATCATTTCCTGGTCGACTCTTACAACATGACCTTGAAAGAAACTACTCAAGTAGGCAAGGTACTGTCAATGGGTACAGATCAGATATTTTAAAATAATTATTTACTAATGTTGAGTCACTAGATCCAAATAAATCTGAGTTAATGAAATGGTTAATTGGTTGCCAAATTGATTTGGGGATATATGACCTATTGTTTAAATTAGAACTGGTTTATATATATAGCATAGTAGATTATTTCCAATCAGAAAAAGCTATTGTTACTTTAGTTTTGGGTGGGCTATAATTAGAGAATGGGAAAAAAATGCTTCAAACATTGTATTAGATGTAAGAAAAATGGCTAATTAGTGAAGGGTAAGACTATGGGAACACAGATCTTTAGGAAATAAGTAAAAAATGAAAAGAAAAGTCAGGAGTAGAGAAGAAGCAATCTCTTTCTCATACTCTGGCAAATAATTATAAATACTTTATATAAAAAGGAGCTCTGGTGGCACAGTGCCTAAGGCATTTGACTGCTAATCAGAAGGTTGGAGATTCAAACCTACCAGCCACTCTATGGAAGGAAGATTGGGTAATCTACTTCCATAAAGATTTATTGCCTCGGAAACCCAGTGGGGGTCACTGTGAGTCGGAACCGACTCAATGGCAGTGGGTTTATAGAAAAAGGTCTTAAACTTTAATGTACAGCATCTGCAATCTTGCTATAAATATAGATTCTTAATACTCCTGTTCTCCTTTCCCCATTCTGATTTTGTACATATTGGGTGGGACTTGGCAATGTGTGTTTTTAATAATGTCTCAAGTGTTTCTTTCTTTCTTTCTTTTTTTAAATATTTAAATATTTTCAAGGGTTTATCCAGCAATATTTTCAGGGGTTCATCTAGGCTCAATGGTTCTAGAAAGTCTGGAGTCCATGGTAATTTGAAATTCTGGTCTGTAATTTTTCCCTTTTGATCAAGATTCATCAAAATTTTCAGTAATGGTATCCAGGCACCATCCAGTTCTTCTGGTCTCATGGCAGAGGAGGCGGCTGTTCATGGAGGCAATTAGTCACACATGCCATATCCTCCTTCTATTCCTGACTCTCCTACTTCTGTTGCTCCAGATGAATAAAAAATAATTGTTGTGCCTTGGATGGCTGCTTTCAAACTTTTAAGACCCCAAGAACTATGCATCGAACTAAGAGGTAGAACAGAAGCAGTGAACACATTATTAGACCAATTGACTGGTATGTCCCGTGAAATTATGACCCTAAACTTCTAAATTAAGGAACCAAATTCCCTGAGGGATTTGGTTTTACATAAGTTGCCCCAGCAGCTATAAATTATTATTGTCATTGCTGTCATTACATCTATCACACAATTTTTGCCAATTCAACTTTTTATAAATGTGTAACTCATTGACGGGAATTACAATAATTGACTGTGCAACCCT